GTCTGATTGGCCAGAATTCATAATTTGAGGAATGCTCGGAAAATCCAAAATATCTTTTATTTTTAACTGTTTTCTTTGGTATTTTCGATTTAATTAGTTTTAATAATATTTTTGCAATAACTTTTTTATGTTGTAAAGAGTTACCTGGGAGATATTGTATTATTCACTTTAGGAAGCGATGGCAGCATTACGCGAAGAGCTCGAGAAACACAAAATTGAACTGCAGCGCATATTGGACGAGAATACGGTATTAACTGAGAAGATATGTATTGAAGGAATTTTTACCTATGACCGTAGTGCATTGATTAATCTAATGGAAGCTATATGTGTTCAACTTGAAGCAGTGCGCGAAAAGCTACGTGCTAAAACGTTGAAACTAATAGAGATTGTCACCAAAGCAGAGGAATTGAAAAAAATAACGAACCAGTAATGGATTCCTTTTTCTCATTCCAAATTGTTGTTTTCAAAAATTTTTTTTGTATACCTTAGATAATAAAATATCATTATGACACATGTCCTTCGCGAACCTTCAGGTTAAATTCGAATCCATTGCATTGTTGCAATTTCAATATTGTAAGATATATTTAACCAATGATAAATCATCAAAATCTTGCAGGGAACCGCGTTGACCAATCGAACATTGCATTGTGGCTAACTGTAGCAATACCGTCAGGGATTTATTAATAAACTTTAGAACTAGCAAATAGCTCTGTCCGTACGCTCACCGAATATTCATTGCAATAGTAAAATAAGAGGTTAATTAAGTGAATCAATGAGAAAGAAATTGGTTTACCAATTATACAATGGGGAAAAAAGAATGGTTCAGTGCTAAAGTTCAAACATGTAAGCTGTTTGACATAACTGAGCTAAATGTTATAGTTCTATTGTGACAGTGCTTTCTGATTGCTGTGACGATGATGTTAGCTTACAATGCAATGTAAAAATTAGAATAGGATGACAAAAACTGTTGAAGAAATATCATTTATTCTTTATGAATGATAAGCAGGAGAAGAGTCGCTTTCCACAGGTTTGATTCAGTTTTTAAGTGGCATAAAATCCTTGGAACAAAGATCAGTAATTTACGTGATGTTTCGGGAAAAACTAGTTTTTACGTAAA